TCCTGATATCCAGTCTAAACTTATTTTGTTGCAGTGTCAAGCCATTGGTCTGCATCCTCCTCTCTGCAGGAAGACAGGTGCTTTCCTTTTTCTTTATGGCAGCCCTTCAAGTATTTGAAGACTGTTACCATGTCTCCTCTTAAGTGCCTTTTCCACAAGCTGAACATGCATAGCTCCTTCAGCCTCTTACATAACTTGACTTCTAAGCCCTTGATCGTCTTTGTTTCCTGCCTCTGGACCCTCTCTAACTTCTCCACATCCTTTTTAAAATGTGGAGCCCAGAACTGCACGCAGTATTCCTGAGGAGGCGTAACCAGTGCTGAGTATAGGCACTATCAGCTCCCATGTCTTGTACCTAATGTTTCTACAGATGCATCCCAAAACTGCATTCATCTTTTGTGCAGCTGCATCATACTGCAGACTCATATTGAGACTGTGATCTACCAAGACTCCCCAGTCCTTTTCCATAGTGCTGCCATCCAGCCAGGTGTCCCCTGTTTTGTACTTGTGTTTTTGATTATTCTCCTGAGGTGTAGCACCTTCCACTTGTTCACATTGAACTTCATCCTGTTAGCTATAGCCCAGCTTTCCAATCTGTAAGTATTCTTCTGAATTGTGCTTGCATTCTCCAATGTGTTCGCAGTCCTTCCCAGTTTTGTGTCATCTGCAGATTTGCTCAAAAAACTTTCTATGCCAACATGCAAATCATTAATGAATATGTTAAACAGTACCAGGACAGGCCCCTGTGGGACTCCATTTGAAACCTCCTGCCATTCTTATATAGACCAATTAATAATTACCCTTGTTTGTGGCTATTGAACCAGTTATCCACTTTATAGTAATTTTTTTCAATCAATATTTCTCCATTTTTTTGTGAAAAGGTTCTACAGTACTTTAAGTCTAGGTACACAATATCCACAGCATTCTTTCATCCACCCAGGTAATTAATTTGTCAAAGAAGGAGAATACGTTTGTTTGACATGATTTGTTTTTCATAAATCCCTGCTGGCTACTTATGATTGACCTTTCCTCCTCCAGATACTTGCAAATAGCCTTCCTTAGGATATGGTCCAGTAACTTCCCAGGTACTGAGGTGAGACTAACCAATCTGTAGTTCCCTAGGTCCTCCTTTTTGCCTTTTTTTAAAGAGGGACACCACTTTGGTCCTTTTGCAGTCCTCTTGTACATGGCCTGTATCCCAAGACTTCATGAAGATCATTCCCATGGGCTCCCAAATCTCCTCTGCCAGTTCCTTCAGGACCCTGGGGTGAAGTTAATCTGGCATGGCTGACTTGAATTCATTCAGACCTACCAAAAGCTCTTGGATCATCTCTTGTTATCTCTTCCCTCAGCTCACTGCCTTCCTTATACAGATAATCCTTATTAAATGTCTGGTTACAGCTTAATTTTTTTGTGAAGACTGAGGCAAAGTAGGTGCTGAGTCTCTCTGTCTTTCATCTTCAGTTAGGAATTCCCCCTGGCTTGTTAACAGAGGGCCCACAACTTCCTTTGTCCTTCTTTTCTGGCCACAATGCTTATAGAATGCCTTTTGTTGTCCTTTACCTCCTTTGCCAGGTGAAGCTTGTTCTTTATTATTACCTTCCTGATGTAGTCTCTGCAGGTTCTTGCTATTTCCTGGCATGCTTCCTTGATGACCTGCCCTTTCTTTTGTGGCCTGTATATTTTCCTTTTGTATTTGCTTCCTTGGTGACCTGCCCTTTCTGTTGCCTGTTGCATTTTTCCTTTTGTATTTGTGGCACTTTAGAAGCTCCTTGTGCAGCCACATTGGTGTCTTGCCATTCTTCTTGTGCTTCCATCACGTTGAGACAGTTTCTTGTTGGGCTTCCAATACTATGCCCTTTTAGAAGCTCCCAGCCCTCCTGAGCACCTTTATGCTGCAGTCTGTCCTCCCTTGACACCATGCCTGCTGTGTCCTTAAATCAATTGAAACCCACCTTTTTTTTAAACTGGTGCCCTAATTTTGCTGATCTTATGCTTTCCCTGGGTCAGGATCTGGAATTCTGTCATATCGTGATTGCTTCCTCCCAAGTTACCCATTAGCTTCATATCCTCCACCAGTTTTATCCTGTTGATAAAGACAAGATCCAAGATCATCCCGTAGTTGTATCTGCACTTTCTGGAAGAGAAAGTTGTCCTCCACACAAGTTAGGAACCAGCTTGACACTTTGATTGACTGCATTGTTCTTCCAGCAGATATCTAGAAAACTGAAGTTTCCCATCAGTACTATCCCATAGCTTTTGAATAGATTTGTCACCTGTTTGAACACAAATCTTCTTCCTCCCAAACCAGGGAGCAAGTGTGTGCGTGTTTTTGACATACAAGGCAACACCACCAGCTTTTCTCCAAACCCTGCCTTTCCAAAACAGAGTTGATATTCCAGTCGCAGCGTTTACATTCCAGTCAATGCTGACATTCCAGTCATAAGAACTGTCCTACCAGGGCTCTGTGATGCCAGCCAGATTGCCGTTCTTTTCACAGGTTTCAGCTTTCAGCTTTTATTCCCCATACTAATTGCATTTGTGTATGTGCATCGGACATATTTTGCATTTTGACCTACTCGCTTCGCTTTTGTTTCACTTGTTGTGGTCCTATAGCTGTCCGGTCCTTTCCTAGAATTAAGTTGCCCTTTGAGTCCTTTCGCTTGTGGACCATGTGCTGTGTTGCTGGAGGGTTTTGGTCACCATCCCCCATGGAATCTAGCTGAAAGATAGAGACAGAAATGAAGTCTGATTCTTCAGGATAGTATTGGTCTGCCAACTGTTGTCTCTGTTTCTGCAATCTGCTGCTACAGTCACTATGCATCTTCCAACTTGTGCAGCTTCATGCCCAAAGCAAGTCATTCACTTGCTCTGGAGGAGACAAGGGGCCATGTAGAAAAACAGCGTGTGATCATGTAGTTAAAGACTATCATAATCTATGTGCCTCTTGGGCTAAATTAACATTTGACAGGCAGCTTTTGGCACTTTCTAGTACTGTAATATTTGGTTTTTCCAATATTAATGTTCTTTACTGTAGACTTTGTTTAATTCTTTAAGGCCCTTGGCATTATTAACTTAAGACATGATTAATGAGTTAATAATATTTAAAGTAGTAACCTGGGAATACTTTCATGCAGTTAATGCTGCGATAAAACAGATAATAAGCCAAACATTTCTTACACAAAATATGTGTAATAACTTTGTGACTGGTTCTTAGTGTGCCTTAAATTGAACAGATGGCCAGCACCGATCAGCTGATCGGCGCTCCTAGGCACAGAAGCATAGTGAGCTCTTCAAGACTCCAGTGCATGGTAACAGTGTAGTTGCAATCACTGAAGGTGTACAAGCAATGTGTTTTGAGGAGGAGCTGACTGGTATTAGAGTATTGTCTGTAGTGAATCCTCAGTGTTGTAATGCTCCAAGTGAGAGTAACTAGATTTTCACTTTCAGAGAATGCCGTAAGGCTCCTTTGCTTTTCCATAATTTTCCTTAATTGTAGCTAAACTGTTTGACATGGGAGATTTATTTTTGCAAAAAATGAACAAATGGTTAAACTGGGATAGAGAGAGAGATTCAGTGTGGAATGGATGAGGGAATAGTTCTGTCCTGAGTATGTTTTATTACTTACCTCTAGATGTTTCCATTGCTTTGGATCAGTACTTATTTAAAAATTAGGTCATTTTAAGTATAAGTTTATGAATGAAACTATATTAATGTTTACAGAAATGTTACCATATTTTTTCACATATAAGATATACCTCTCCCTTGAAAATCAGACCCCCCACCACCTTGGATAAAATCACCCTGCTTTTATTCCTGCTCCACAGTGGAGCAGCTGTGGCATTGCTATTCAGGCACTGTGAATTCTTTATTGCACAGGTATTACTAATCAGTTATCCCTTTTTAATGGTCTTGATGTTTCACTAATCAAGCTGCTAACATTCCTTAAAGCAATTCTGCTGGCTGCTCCTGGTGTCTGTCTGTCCATCTGTCGTCTTCTCTCATATCCCTGGAGACTCTTTAGCACTTTCCAAAATCAGATATCTCCACCCCCC